AAAAAAATTAAATTTAAATTTTTATAAAAGAAAATACTATAACAATATGAATTTTGAAATTTCGGTAAAAATTTTAAAAATATGGGTGAAATTGTTTTTTTTCATCAAAAGAGATATATATCATTACCAGGCTAATTCTGAACTACTTGGCAGGTGGTACGTGGGTCGGGGGCCCAATCATCCAGCTGGCATTCAAATGTTACATGTGGACCGAACCTGGCAAGCCTATAATGTCGAGATTATGATTTCCATTGAAAGAAGATTCTCAGCTATATATATGTTGCAATGATATTGCAAGTCTAGTCAGAGAGAGGAAACGAAACTTGCGAGTACAAACAAATCACGGGTAAACATAGAGGCCCGTTTATTTTGCTGATTCGAGTTTAGAATTTGATTATTTTACAATAAAAAGTTTTTATAAATAATCACATCTAATTTTTTTACTACAGTAAAAAACTATCACATAAAATTACATCTCAACTCGAATTCTAAACTCGAATCAGCGAAGTGAATGAGACCAAAATACGAGTAGTTTTATAGTTCAAAAGAACCGTTTTGAATCGTTAGATCTGTATTAAATTTTGTTAATTTTATATATTTATTTTGATCAAGTCAAAAAGGTTATAAACATGCATTATGATAATATATGTCCTATTGTAGTAAATAGTGATGGATTTAAGTTCAGTAGGGGTTATTGCCCTTACATAAAATTTTTTTAAAAAAATATTATCTTTAAAAATTTTAAAATTTTACACTTAAATCTCTATTAAAATAATATATCCTCATATTAAAATAAATATATTTTTTTATATGTTCTTATTAAGATAATTTATTAAAAAAAATTTAGTATACATTTTTACTGAAATGAAAGGCTGACTCCGTCACTTATGGTAAGTTTTGATAAAAAAACGGTATTCGCTTTACCACTCATCCTGAAATTCTTTTAACGGCCCATGTCCTTTGTGATGTGCTACAAACAACACTATGGTTATTACTAGTTAATTGGCCAAGTTGTACGTAACCAAGTGATTTAATTAGCAGCTTATTAATTATATACTAACTAGTAATTAAAATAAGATTTAGGAATATTTTGTGTTTATCCTATGAAAATTAGCAAAGCAATCGTCACGTCCATTCAAATTTGATAACTTTGATGTATATAATGATCATAGGAGACTGTTTCATGTTCTTGTTGTGTTCGCCAATGTTTTCTTCGTCCGAGGTATTCAGAGACAGGTTGATGATGGATGAACGTGTTGCTTGTCTCTTTCAATATTGTCGTTTTCATGGAAAACATATTAGACACGTTTGTTGTCGATTGGCTATTCTATTGTCGTTTGCTTTTTTTTTTTTTCTAACTTTCTTTTTATTTCGTTTCCATTTTGTTTTTGCTTCTAATTTGCTGCCATTTTCAATTTTTTTGTCCTTATTCTTATTGTCTTTTCTCTTTTGTTTTTTCTTTTGTTTTTTTTTTTTTATAATTGTCTTTTCTTTTCTTATGTTGCTCACTTGTTGTATCGTCGTTTCCACTTTTACTGTCGTTTTTTATAGTTACTTTCCCTTTCTCCATCCTCTCCACTCCATATGACGTCGTAACAATACAAATGATCCTCACTTCAAAAAATTTAAAACACAATTTTCAATATTTGTTGCTCACCTCTCTCCATTGTCGTTTGGAAATTATTAGTCGTTTTACTTTAATAGTCGTTTCCAACTTTACGTTGTTGCAATTTTATCTTCTCTTTCTCACTTTTTTTCATTTACAAATTTTTTTTTTTTTGTTGATTACTAGTTGTTGTCGTTTCACAGGTATACAAGTTCCGTTGTCGTTTCCATATTTTCCCCCATCTTTCCGTATTCTGTAGTTGTCGTTTGCAAAGTTACACTCCTTTAACTTTTCACGATGAGTAATTTAGTCCTTAAACTTTTTTTTTTTTTTTTTTTTTTTTTTCTCAATCGGCTCCTTAAGGTTTAAAATTCAGAAATTCTTTACAATTGAGGTTCAATTAAACACGCCGTTAGTTTTCCAGACAAAATACTCCATGTGCGCCTCACGTGACCTAGTAATGAGGGTAATGGGTGTCCATTCAGCCAAATTGATAATTTAAAAAAAAAAAAAAAATGAAAGAACCCAGCAGCCCCACCCTTGTTCTTCACATGTCTGCGCCCCCATCTCACCCTCCACTCCGACGACGAGAGAACCAGCTGATAGGAGGATGTCGATCTCTCTCCCTTTCCCTCGGAGATCCGATGCCGCGGCGGCATGGTGGGTTTTCGTGGTGGGATTTGGGGTTGATCGAGAAACATAAGGTGGTTCATTGATTTGTTTGGGTCTGAAAATTTCAATCACAGTGTTTGTGATTGAAAGCACTGGTTGAGGATTGATAAATCTGGGTTTTTTAGAGGGTTTTGTTGTTCAAAAATCCTCGAACTCCGGAGTTTTCTCTCTCTCTCTCTCTCTCTCTCTCTCTCTCTCTCTCTCTCTCTCTCTCTCTCCGATCCGAAACCTCACACTCTTCAGATTACGTCGTTCTTAAAACCCTGTCTTTCTCTCTCACTCCTAAATTTCCCTCGCGATCTCCTCAGATTATCTCTGTTCTCTGGTTTCGCTTGTTTCTTTTTTTTCTCTCGCCTAAAAAAACCCGTGAAAACCTGTTTCATTCCAGGCAAAAACCCAGATTCTTGCCGAGAAAAAAATTATTTCGATTCTTGTATTTCTTTTTTTTTTTTTCTTGTGTTGATTTATTGCTGTTTGTTTCCCGAGAAAAGGAAGATGGAAAAAATGTCGAGAAAAAAAAAACCAAAAGATTTGCATTTATAACTCAGCATATGTTAAAATCTGGTTCAAGATTTTTATCATCGTCCATGTGATTTTAATCCAATTGAAATGGAGCAGTAGTGTTCTCGGTGGTTTCCTGATAATTTGGGGATTATAACCTCGCAAGAAATTATGATTATATGGTGTTTTTTTTTTCACTGTTTTGGGTTATCCTCGGATTTGTTTCTATTTTTTTTTTCTTGAAATTGATAAATTTGGGTGTGTTCTTGTTTGCAACTTGAAGAAATGCATATATGTGAGAGAGAGAACCAATCCAGATTTGGGTTTCTGAGTTTTTTTTTTTTTTTTTGAAAAAGGGTTTGTTTCTTCAATAGAATCACCATCTAATGTCCTAAGAAAAGTCACGTGATTAAATCCGTACAACATTTAACGGCCGTTTTCAATTGGACTTTAATTGTAAAAAATTTTAAATGTCAAGGAGCTGATTATAAAAAAAGAAATTTAAGAATCAAATTGCCAATACGAAAAGTTAAAAGGAATTTCCATGCAAGAAAAAGCCTTCCCCTTAATACTTTGATAAGGGGAACATCGAAAATAGAATGAAATTTTTTTTTTTTATCTGCCAAACAATGTAAGAGAAAATTTGGTGTCAATTGGAACTCATATCTTTTTTATCATTTTTATTTTCTGCCTCGTATATTTTTTCTCCTTTTCCTTTTTCTCAAGGTTATGTAGCTTACAAATGGGCTACGCTCAATAATGGAGTAGGTCCAAAGGCCATCCGTGAAGAATCTTAGTTGGGCCATCTCACCACGTTTGGCCCATGAAATTCCTGGAATTCCCCAAAGACCTAACTTAAGCAATGAAATGAACATGTCACGTCACGGAATCACTAGTCAGTACTCAGTTGTCATAACGGATTAATCGACTCAGAATTATAAATTGAGAAAATTACAAAGATAACCACTCTTTATTTATATCATATTATATTGGATAAATTTCAGAAATGATCTTTGAAGTTTACATTTAATCTCATTTTAATCTATGACTTTTTAAATGTATGGTTTCTGAAATTTTATTTTGTTTCAATTGCGATTATTCCATCAATTAGACGTTAAAATTTAAAAGAATATGTGTAAATTAGAGTTTAAAATTAGAACCAGTTAAAATTTTAAGTCTATCTGTTAAAATTAATTTTTAATTTTTTGCATTATTTTAATCTCTAAACTTTATATGTTTTTAATTTTAGTCCATAATTTCTATATTATTACCGTTTTAGAACATATTTTTCACCTTTTTGAACACAAACGCCTCGTTCATTTCACCGATTTAAATTTTTAGTTTTAGGTTTCTACATTAAAAAGCTCTCAGAAAATGTCACATCTAACTTTTTGTGCTACAGTGAACAGCTCTCAGAAAATGTCACATCTCAGCTCAAATTAAAAACTCGAATCCGCGAAGTGAATGAGACCAAAATATGTTGTTTTTTATTTCTGTGAGAGTGTGCCTGAGAGAGGAGAGAGAATTTGTGAAAAAAAAAAAGTTGTGATTGATTTTTGTTGAGGAAAAAAAATATGTAACATGTAAATTACGTAAAGATAATTTATAAATTATAAAAATAAATAATTTATAAATTATTAATGGCATAAGATAAATTTTAAAATAATGACATAAATAAAATGATCTTACTTCTTTGATGGTTTTTCTGAAATTTCCCTTATAAATTGCACATTAATTTTCTGCAGAAAGAATTAGCATTGGGAAGATTAAAATAGGCAAACGCAGAAAGCAGGTTTATTTTCTTTATTCTACATTGAAAACACCGATTAGTATGGTGACAAATTACTTACAACAAGAAGAAAACGACAAAAAAACAAGACGGCAAAGCCACTCTCTTCAATTTCTTCATAAAACTTGACTATATATAATATAAGACACATTATAGAACCCTGCAAGCCAAAATTCCAATATTTCTATCTAGGAATGTTAGATTTGGAACAGAAAAAAAAAACATTTGTGCCTAATTAGCTACATTGAAATAGTAAACACCAAGATCTTCCAATATTTGATCAAACCAAATTGGAGAACAAGTTATAAACCAATAGTTGTTCTGGTATGTTAATTTTGTCTCCTCTTATTTGCCATTCGATTTTCCTACTTTGCTCAATTTCTCAAGATCTGTTTTATTATTATTATTATTATTTAGATTACAGGGAAAGATATGGCAGGCTCGTTGGTAAAGTCCTACTTGGAAAGACTAGATTCTCTTTTGATCCAAGAAAAGGAAGCATTTGATGGACTTGAAGATCACATAGAGAAGATAGTGAACAAACTTAAGGAGATTTCACAGTTTTTTGATGATACAGGCAATACAGAAGATTATTCAAATGAACTTAAAGATATAATCAATGACATAGAAAATCATATAGACAAGTTTCTCAGCCAGACTGATGACGGAGCAACACTGAAAGATTGCTTCCGAAATGATATGCAAAAGATTGATTTTCGCCTTTCGGAAACCATCCAAAGAAAGAAGGAGTTTAGTTCTTCAACAATTGTCGACTCTCAAGTGCTAAAAGGTCAAACATCAGCTTCTTCATCTTCTTGTTCTTCTTCTTATGCAACTTTTTCATTTGAATCCGATTTCGAAAATCTCTCCGAACCCCTTCGAAACTGCTTAATGTACTGTTGCATATTCCCGGAGGATTTCTTGATCCACAAAGGGAAACTTATTCGGCTACTAGTAGCCGAAGGTCTAATTGAAGATAGAGAAGGGAAAGTGATGGAGGACACAGCGGAACAATGTATATGTGAACTTGTCAACAAGGGGATGCTTGAGATAAATGATGAACACACCTACAATGGCACCAAACTACGAGTTCCTTCGGTTTACCGCGAATTCTGCCTTCGAAAAATAGAGGAAGGAAAGCTCAAAGCTTCGGTTAGTGCTCCGCAGAAAGCGCGTCGCATAGTGACTAGTCTAGACACGCTGAAAGATGAGGATCCCCAACTTTGGTCTTTGTTTCTCATTGGCAACCAAAAATCTATCGAAGAGAAAAGCCATTGGCTGAAGCACAAGAGCGCAAAGTTCTTGAGAGTTCTAGATCTAGAAAATGCGAAATTCAAAAGCCTACCGGATGAAGTTGGAGACATGACACATCTCACATATCTTTGCTTGAAAAGCACGAAGATAAGTGAGCTCCCAGAGAGCCTAAGTAACCTAAAAGCCCTTCAAACTTTGGATATAAGATGGTGTGGATTTTTAGCAGCATTGCCTCATGGGATACTAAGTCTTGTAAGCTTGAGGCATCTCAAAATGCTCAAGAACTATGGTGTTACTGGCGTGAAATTACCACGAGGCATAGCAAGTCTCCGAAACCTCCTGACCCTTACAGGCGTCGATCCTAGTGGCGGCATTGCAGGAGAATTAGGCAATTTGACACAGCTCAGAAGGCTGGGAGTGATGGATGTGACTGAAGAGAATGTCAATGAGTTATCTTCGTCAATTATGAAAATGCAAGGCCTTTTGAGCTTATCTCTAGAACCAAAGCATACACACCAGAAGAACAAACTTCCTCTCTTGGATTCATTTTCGCCACCTCTATCTTTGAGGAAGCTTCGCCTTTAAGGGGTTCTCGAGAATACACCGAGTTGGCTTGGCTCATTGGAAAGGCTCACAAACATAAGATTGGGATACTCTCATTTGTCAGAGAACCCTGCATTGCTACTTCATCTCTTACCAAACTTGAAGAAATTAACCCTTTGGCATGCTTATGATGGGAAAGAGATGGGGGAGGAGTTTTGCAGGGCGGGCGGGTTTCCAAGGCTTGAGGAATTGACAGTTGCTTCTGAGGTTCTAGAGGAGTGGCAGAAGCTTGAAGAATGAGCATTTCCTAGCTTGAAATGCCTCATGCTGCATAGCTGCAGGAAGCTGAGGATGTTGCCTGAAGGCCTGCAGTTTGTCACCGGTCTGAAGCAGTTATGTTTGATTCCTTTGCTTGATGAACACGCCGAGCGGCTGAAGCCTGATGGGGGCCCAGAAAACTATAAGATCAAGCACATTCAAACCGTGTCGTTTATCACTACATCTATGATAGAGGAACTGTGCAAGAGAAGGGGAGAAGAGGTCAAGGAGGAGGATCATTGATGAGAAAAGTTATGTTTTGCTCTTTTTCAACTTCAAGCAAGCTATTTTGCATAGAAGTTTGTTTTTTTGTTGCTTCTAAGTGTGGCTCAAGAGGGGAAAAAAAAAAAAAAAGCCTATGTTAATTCAAGTTGTCCTAAAGAAATGACTGTTTTGTAGTTCTTTTCCTCTTGTTTTTCTTGTGATGCTGGTTCTGTTATCTCAATAAACTATAAATTGATCAGAATTGGTTAGTTTTGTTTGTAATCTCTATATAACTCACTAAACAAAACTGATATTAGTTGTGTATGAAGGATATGATTCCTTTATATGATTCAATCAGGTATAAAATCATATATTATGTATACATGTATAGCAAGAAAAATGATAATCCAATCAGGTATTATTAGAAGGATATGATTCCTTTATGTCATGATGTCAAAACTATATCTATACATGTATAAAATCTCTCAGATTTTGTGATCTTGAGGCTATTTAGTATAAAGATACCATGGAAATATATAATATTTTTTGGGTGTTTTCAAATGGGTCTTGCAATCAAAGCATGCAAGTGAAATTGCAAAGAGAATGATGAAGCAAAATTAAGCTGCAAACAAAGATGTGGAAGGTGATTGGATGAATTAATAAGAACAAAATACACCAAGAGTTCTTGAAGGTGCAATTTTCTGCATTTAAAATCATGGAAAAAGAATTAGGAGTACCTTGGATTTGATACATTTACTGACAAAACAGAACTTCACAAGCCCCCAAAAACAAAAAACAAAACAAACAAAAGAAAAAGAAAAAGAACAAAATAGAACTTCCCATTTTTCTTCACTCTTGATCCTTGTTCTTTCCTATGAATAAGAAAATGAGCTAATAATATCCATATTTTATTTCTATATTGTTGCATTTCTATGCGACAAATCTACTACTTTACCATAATCACAAGCTAGTGTTTCCCAAAAAAAAAAAAAAAAAAAAAAAAAAAAAAAAAAAAAAAAAAAAAAACAAGAATAGAAAGATATGCCTTTTGGCTACAAAGCACAAATCAAGCACTATTAACAAGTATTATATCTGTACATATTGGACCAAAATATGGAACTTGAAAGGGAGAAAAAAAAACTGTATCATTCTGTTAATTAGTAATCGGAACAAACTAATGAAAGAAGAAAGTCGACGCCGGAGCTGGTGGCACATTCATGGCCCTTTTTCGACCCTCAACGGGGGGTGGTGGTGGTGACGGTGCTGATCGTAGGATCGGAAACTTTTTGTTAATAAACAATCTCCGACGTCCAAAACAACATTCACTCCTGCAGAACAATTTTGTGTAGTCTTCTGATCTGTGTATTAATCTGTCTCCTGCTTCATAAAATTTTCAAACACTCTTCTTGTCACAAAACAAAAGATTAGTAAATATATACATGTAAAAATAATATATGTACATATGTATATTACCAGCAAGATGTTGGCCAGAAATTGAAAAATTTCCCATGAGAAGCAACAGAAGAGTGGAAATTACCACCAACTTTGCTGAAAAACAATACATCAGAGAAATGCTAATTGGATGAGAATGTTTTTTTATTTTTATTTTTTTGTGTGCAATGAAACTTAAAGTACTAAATGTGAAATGAAAAAAGGATTAAGAATGTCTGATCTATATGGGGTTCAAAATCTAGCCCAAAGAATCTTGATATCATCGTAAAGTTTGATTTTGATCTTCAAAATAATCCAATCCAGAAAAGAAAAAACAGGAAGAGTCCCAATAAATAAGTTGTGCAGCTTTCATTATCTAGCCCAGTACTTGACTTTTAAAACAAAAAATAACAAGGCAACAACCGTTAATTAAAGAAGATATAAATGAGACCAAAGGTTACAAGTTTATGGGGAAGATCATAACGTGACATGTATGAATTAGTGGATAGAACTCAGGTTATTTAATAGACAACATACAATTGTGTCTATACCAGATTTAAAAGTAATTCCACTAGGTCAAATGATTCAGCGTTAGCACAATTGGTGGAGCTAAAATGACACACTCCTCGTCAACTGATAGGCTCGTCGAGTCTTCAACGAACATTTTTGTTAGCACCTCGGACCAACTCTTTTGATAACTTCAAGGAGGGTATGCTAACGTTGTTTGCCACCTTATGAGATTTTACTATAATCTGGGGTGGGCGAGGTTTGAGTATGGAAGGATGTGGATTCGATCTCATATTGTATAAAAAAATAAAATATATATACATCAAAATAAAAAAAAAAAACTAATCAAAACTAGTAAATTAATAGGAGTTTTAGCACTTGTGTACCTTAATTTTTCATAATTTCACATTTTTGTTTTATCTTTTTTTTTATTTGCAATTTAGCCATTGAATTACTGATTCAAAGAGTAAATTTCCAAAGGCATACTTTTCGAAAGGATAAAAATGTCAAATAAAAAAAAAGTGGTTAAAAATAACCATTGTTCTGATTGAAGTTTAACCTCTGTTAACTATTGAATTAAGTATTATTATTCTACAAAGTGAAAATGCTAAAATTTCCTAGTAAAAAATTTAGAGTTACAAAGCGCCAAATCCCACATTCAAGAATGAACCAAGTTTATAGCCCTTTGGTTCACGCATTTAAGTCGGTGATTCTGATTTTAAATTTAAATTTTTTGAGAGAACTCATTAACGGGGACTTTTTTTATTCACATTTTTGTGTGAAAAAAGTACTATAGCAGAATCAGAATCATGAGTTCGAACGTATGAAACAAATAGGCCAGTAGTTGCTCTCAATCTTTTACCTTTGTTTGTTGCTCGGATATACTTTTTGTTTAGCAGCGATTAAGAAGAAATTTAAACGGAATTAAATGTAGAGGCATGTTTATTTTTACATGGACCACACTTCCATTAATATGTTTGAATATATTGCAATGGGGATACTTAATTAGTTGAGTAGATTTAATCAGGGAATTTATCGATTTAAACATGTATAAAATATATTCACTTATTGAAGCATTTGCTTAACTAATAGCTTTCCATATATGAGATTCCAATTAACAAGCACCTACTCACTTCGTACATATTAACTTACTAAACTGCCACATTTTGGCATGCAATAATCTTAAGGAAGCAAATCAAACTAATCAAACACCAGCCGTAAATTTGAGAAAATCATTAAAAAAAATTAAAGGAACCTACTATATTCTAATTGTTGTTTATTTAAAGAATGAAATTTCTCTTGTGTTTTCTCACATTTAAGAACATCGGTATTTTCTGTTTATCAACCGTCGAATTTATATTATTTTTTGAATCTGACTTGACTTTTAACTAAATTTAGTATAAATTTAACGCTTGATAAACAGAAAATACCTGTGTTTCTTATCTTCTTAATTAATTATTCACTTTCTCTTTTGCTAATTTGTCTCATTCTAAGGATAAGTTTACTTCACGTGAATGGAAAATGAAAATGAAAGAGAGTTTTCTTTCCCACTCAATATTCATGTATTTATAGTATGGGGCCAAAATAATGTAGGAAATGTCACTCCCTCTTTCGGTGATTACGTAGAAAAATAAACATCAATTTTTAAATGCACTTATCTAGCCAAGGATTATTCAATCACTCACAATGACATTTTAAAAATGATAAGATTCCAATTTCTAAATTTAGTAGTCACTAGAAAGTGAATTGAATTACTTCCAGTTTTACTCCTAACAGACTCCTTCCAACACTCGTTAACTTTCTTACTACATTCCATTACAGACTTTACAGTTTGGTAAAAGTGCCTTAATAGACTCTGCTTATTCTCTCAACAAATTTTCTCTGAAACCAAGATTGTGAAACCATAGATCTCACATGACATCATTCTACGTAATATTAATGATGTTGAAAAATATCTAACAAAATTATCAAAAGAAAAATATCTAATGTTCGGCCTTATCAAAGTCCTTTTTTTTTTTGGTGTCTAAGGAAAAACCCGAGGAGGGGGTGACCGGCGTAAGCTTGACATCCAGACGCTTACATGAATATTCGTTAAAAGCCCTACCTTTGAGACAAGGATTGAGTTACCCTAATCTTATCAAATGTGTAGGGATATATATGAGTGTCGTCCCATGAATTTTAAGTCTGAGTATTAGACTAACAAGAAACATGCTTTCACAATTAGTACTTCCAAGGGGATAATCTAACACTCTAATCTGTGATCACAAGCCCACCACGGTACTCCGTTACTGTTAGGCTACCACACTCAGTGGTTCACCTTATTAAAGTTATTCTTACGTGGAACAAATTCCATATTACATCTTCCATCTCTACATGTTAGATTACAGGACAGTCCTTCACAGAACATATGTCATTACTCATTAGCAGGAAAGAATAGTGGAAAATTGCACATGAGAAGCAAAAGAATGGTGGAAATAGCCGCAAACTTTGCAGGAAAGACAAACATCATAGAAACGTACGTCGGAAACAAGAATTTTGAGAGGCCTTCTGTTGAAGATGGGGTTTTTATTTTTATTTTTTATTATAGATAACTCAAATGAGTATTTGACGCGCAATATGCATTGGTTTTAATAATTTAGTAACAACTAGGGAAGAAACATAATTTTTTAAATGCTTTGCGTTTAAGTTTTCAAAAGTTAAAAAAGACTTTTCATCAGTGGTGTAGCTTTCATCCTGCAGCTGACCAAGCTTTAGCATTAGCTGTGCCACACTACCATTAAACAAAAATATAAAAGAAGCACAAAAATGATGTCAATTTATCATATTTAAAGTAAAGTAATTCTACTAGTGGTTTTAGGCCTCCTTTATGTGGTTAAAGACTAAAGTCCAAGGTTGAGCAATCATGATTTGAATTATAGTTCATAGTTTGTTACAGTATTTTCTCTCACAAAAAATACACATAAATCGAAAATGATTCTAATCACATAATTTTAATCTATGAACCAAACGTCTCCCTAATGAACAAATCAACGCCAATGAATTAACGTTATAATATTACTGTGATCAACTATTTAATAGCAGTAGTTTTTTTTTTTTTTTTAATTTTACATGTTTAAAGAACTGGTAAGAGTGTTCAATTCAACAACATAAGTACAAGTAGGGTACTTGCATACAAGCTCGTTCATTTCACCGATTCAAATTTTCAATTCTAGTTTTGCTACAATTAAAAGTTCTTACAAAAAATCACATTTAACTTTTTATGTTACAATTAAAAGCTTTTATATAAAGTCATATCTCAACTCGAATTGAAAGCTCGAATTAGCGAACTGAACGAACAAGCCACTGGTTGAGTTCTTAACTTCTTATTAGTCAATACCTTTTTAAACAACTGGTCTATTTGCACAAATGATTTTCTAAAGAAATTTGCATATGGTAAGAGAAACCAAGTACAAAGATGAGACCACAAGTTGAAATATGAACTCTGTTTTTTGGTATTAATAATTAACATTCATGGAACAAAGAGACTTAGAGCACGTATGGTATAAGGGTTATAGAACTTAGAATCATGATTTTAGTTCAAATCAGTGTTTATTTATAAAAAGTAAAAAGTAGTTTTGATTTGACTCACTCAAATCAGTATTTGATTTAGATGGTTCTAATTCAAGGTTTGAATCATAATGTAATGTTTTAAACTTAGTTTTAGGTGGTTTAAACCCCTGATTCTGGTTTTGATTTTAGAATCATGATTTGAACATAAAATTATGAATCATGATTCTTACTCTAAAATTACAATTAAAATCATCCTGACTTGAACTCTCATTCCAAACGAAGCCTTAAGCAATTAGAGGACTAGGTGCGGCAGGGGCAAAGTTTGTCTTTGCCCTGTTTTTAATCGGCGAAGGAGGTGATATTCGGAGGCTTCGCAGACTCCGTGAGGGTACCGGTTTGTGCTCGCCAGCTTCTAGATTTTCACATCCAAAGCCGCCTTCTTCGATTGCTGTACTCTTCCGCAACACGCCTTTGCAGTCGAAAATATACAATGATGAACTCTTCTTGTCACCTTCATAAACAAAATATTTAAGTAATGTCAAAAGCCTCAAGGGAAAGTTTTTAACATAGGAAAACAGGTAAAATATCATCAGAACTTTTGAGGGAACTTTTTTTCCCTATTCAGGACATAAAACGGGTGACCAACTTCAATAATGCGAAAAAAAAAAAAGCCTAAAGGAGAAAAGACGATCAATCAGAAGACAAGAAAACTACCATAAGGAATGAATGATGAAGTTGTTAACAGAAAAACGGCGAAGCCCAAGAGAAGAAATAGTGAAACCAGCTTTGCTGCAGAAGAGCTCATCTTTAGTAGCAGAGAATAAGAACTTGGAAAATCCTCGGAGTCCCTTGTGTAAAGAAAACCAAAACCAGAAGCAAGATTTGAAGATATAACTTGGTTTTTCTTTACGTATCGGTTTATTTTTATCGACAATCATGGGTAATATATATATATATATATATATCGTCTCCTCAATTGTCAACTATTATTACGTACTGTTAAAATAATTATCTAATTTATAAAAGTTTGTTGACTTTGAACCCAAACACCTAACTTCCCCGTATTTTCATGGAAAGGGAAATTTGACTTGGAAATCTACGAAGAATACAGGAATCTTTCTTCTTTTTTTTTCTTTTTCCTTTTGAGTGGGAGAAAATGGTGTTTTGTTCAGTGAATTTTCATCTGATTAGAAGCAGTGCTTGGTGGCTTCAAAAGCTCAGAGACATATATGGACATGATCAGGCCGCAATATCATTTGAATCTAACGTTTTGTCAAGCTTACATATGTAAAAGTAAAACGACAAAAACTTAAATAAAAGTAAAACTGAGTTATTAAAACGCTAGTGAAATTGAACCGAGAAGAAAAGATTCTGGTAAGCCTATAATTTGAAATGCGTAGGCATATACTATTGATCCACTATGTATTGAAGTCGGAACATTCAAATGACTGGGGTATTGGAGAAAAAGATGTCGTTTTTGTATAATATCTCTGGTTATACCGCTGGTTCTTTGTCGTTGCCTCAATATTGATCCTACAAGTTGGCAAAAAAAAATTGCAAAAAACAAGGAAGACTGAGAAAGAAAAAAAAAAAAGGGTCAACTTGAAAATTTTGGCTATAATATAAAGTCCTGGTTGGTTTTCTACTAGGAATTGTTGTCCGAAACGTAAAATTAAACAGATTTAAAATAAAATATGAATAATATAGAAAATTTAAAAGACAGAAAATTAACGTGGTTTAGAACAAAAATGGTAAAAAATTTTTACTATTAGCAAAGAAGATTATAAAAGTTTATTAAATATTTCTCACTGCTCAAATTCTGAATATAACAAAAATCTTTCACTCTAAAAGTAAGAACTCTAACTGTCAAAGAATAATTCTATGACTAAATATTCCTACATCAAAACAAAAACAAAAAAGAGAAAATATGTATTAATAGGAGAACACCACGCCGCTGCTACCCAAGTCTCACGGCCACCTATGAAGCATATTTATGTATATGCTCCCAAAGATAGTCGGCTAGTCCTACAACCCCTAATGCAAGTCGAACTATATAAATATGCTTCTCCAAAGAAGGTCGGCAGCACCTCATAAGAGAAACCAATGGGCCTTGGCCCAATAGCAAAATTAAGAAAAAATTTGTTAATGTAATTATTTAACTAAAAAATTATAAATTAAGAGTAAATAGTAAAAATTTTGATTCATATATTTTTAAGTAGCATTTGTTAAGATTATTCAAAATTAAGGCTTAATTAAAGCCACAAACCCAACAGGAATAAGTGGGCGTAATTTGAAGCTTTTTTTTTTTTTTTTTTGTAAATGGAGGCATTTGAAAGTGTATGTAGTGAATGTCAAAGCCATCAACCGAAATGTGTTGACTTGCAATGTTCCGTAAGTTGGGCATCTCAATTCCATAAGACTCCAAATTTACAAGTGAGTTTGGATTGGATAGACCCTAAATTTGTTCTTACACGTTTGAAGAGAACTCATTTAAAAAAAAAAAAAAAAGGTTAAAATTAAAAATTTAAAAAAAAACCATTTAAAAAAAAAAAAAAAGTGTTAATATTACAACTTGAAACACAGCCTTGTGGTTTGCAAACTAATCTTTTTCACAGCCATACGCTGAATGCTGGTTCAATTAAAGCAATCTCCTCAAGACAAGAGCTTTTTGTTTCACAAACTTGGTATGTGTACTAACTGAATTCAAGGCACTCAAATGGTTGTTGCTTCCTTGAAAATGCTTTTAGCTTCGTCCTTCTTGGGTCCAAAAGCTACAAGAGTAACAAGACTTTTAAACTTGGTACAGAATTTTAATAACATTTTGATACGTTTCATTATAACATGTTTAATGCTTAATATAACATTTAAATGTCATTCTTGTTTCATTAAACTCTTTTTTAAAAATTAGTTCTAAACGCATAGCGAAAAGTCAATACTCTTTTACTTCTCTTCTTGTATTTCCTAAAAGTATTAGCGAAAGCAATACCGAACGGGCTTTCTTTGCACTTTCACTCTGAAATTACATCTAATAGCAAGAACATTACAAAGAAAACAACCCATCAAATTAATCAAGGAGAACTTCATTGGAAACACCTCAAGACCAATCAAGAAACAAATACATTAGCCTTAAAAGCTAATGTTTAAAAAAAAATAACTTGAGTTTATTAAAAAATAAACTTTAAGTTTTATTTTACTCAAGGAGAACTAGTCGGACATATATTAAAATTTTCATTCTTGGAGACTATTTGTGTATGTATATAGATAAAGACTATACCATCTTACACCATAATACGTACGTATGAGAGATGCCGAATCAGTAAGCATAGCCCAAGTGTTACCAAAGGGGTCCCGGAGATTGATATGAATGTTCGCTCAAAGCCTCAAACAAGCCTTTACAATCAATATCTTTTAAGGGGCAACCCAACACTCGAACCTGTGACCACAAACCCTTCACGGTACTTCATTAACGTCGAACCACCACACTCAATGGTCTACCTTTTCAAAATTTATTGTTAAATGGAATAAATTTCATATTACAGCATCAATCTCTACATGTTACAGCGTGTTTAGGTCCTTCACAAAACATACGTCATTAGCAGGAAAAATAATGGAAAATTGCACACGAGTAGCAATGAATGGTGGAAATTGCCACCAGGATGATTTTGAGAGGCCTTCGGTTCAAGATGGATTTCTTTTTTTTCTCTCTCTCTCTCTCTCTTTTTTAATAGATAACTCGAATGAGTTTTTTTGACGCGGAAATTATGCATTGGTATTAATATTTAGGGAAGAAGCGGAATTTTAAAATGCTTGTGTTGAAGTTTTCTTCAGTTGTGTAGCTTTCATCCTGCACAAGTTGACCCAGCGTTAACATTATCTGTGGCGCACTACCATTAAACAAAAAGATAAAATAAGCATAAAAATGATGTTAATTTATATAAATATAAAGTAAAGTAATTCTAATGTCCTTAGGCCTCCTTATTTTTTCAGAATGTGATTAAGAACTGCCAAAATCTGAGGTTGAGAAATTCAATACAACTAGTAAATAAATCAACGCTAATGAACTAAAATATACATCTACTATTGAGATCGATTATTTCCTACCAGTAGTTTTTTTTTTTTCTTTTTTTGTTTTTGTTTTTTTTACATGCTCTGAGAACCAGTAATGATATTCAATTGCACAACAATAACCCACAAATGATCTCCTGAAGAACAGGATTGAATTAATGACACATTTGCGTATGGCAATAGAAACCATGTACAGAGATGAGAGGACTAGTTGAAATATTGACATCCATGGAACAAGGAGACTTAAGCAACTAGAGGAGATGCGGGCGCGGCAGGGGCATCCAAAGTCTTTGCCTTGTTTTTAATCGGCGAAGGAGGTGGTATTAGGAGGCTTCGCAGACTCCGGGAGGATACCGGTTTGTGTTCAACGGCTTCTAGATTTTCACATCCAAAGTTGCCTACTTCTCTTGCTGTAATGACCCGAAACACGCCTTTGCAGTCAAAAATATACGACGATGAACTCTTCTTGTCACCTTCATAAACAAAAGGTGATATTGAACGAATTATGTTTAAAGCCTCAATGGAAACTTTAACATAAGAAAGTAAGAAAGTGAAATCTCAAAAAGTCAGGACCTATGTGAGAGACAACTATTTGAAGAGGGTAAAGCGAAAAAAAAAAGCCAAATAGAACATAAACCGGATGACCGACTTCAACAATGCTAAAACGCCTAAAACAGAAAAGAAAATCATCAGAAGAGAAGAAAACTACCATGAGGAAGGAGTGTTGAAGAAGTTGCCATATAAACACCGAGGCCGAAGAGAAGAAATAGTAAAAGCAGCTTTTCCGCAGAAGAGTTCATTTTTAGTAGCAGAAAATACAAACTTGAGAATCCTCAAGAAAGCCAGGTCACCCCAGAAGCAACATCTGAAAATATAGCTTGGTTTTTCTTTATGTTTAGGTCTCTTTTAATATCCATCATGGGGGTTATATATTATAAAAGTTTGTTGACTTTGAGTCTAGGCACCTAACCTCTTTTATTATCCATCATGGGGGTTATATATTATAAAAGTTTGTTGACTTTGAGTCTTGGCACCTAACTTCCCATATTCTCATGGAAAGAGTGAGGGAGAAATTTGACTTTGCAATCTACAAAGAAATACAAGTTACAAGATACTTTTTTCCTCTTCTTTTCTCTTCTTTTCTTTCTTCCTTTTTTTCCCCCCTTTTGGGTGGGAGGAAAGTGTGTTTTGTTCAGTGAACTTTCAACTGACAAGAAACAGTGCTGGGTGAATTCAAAAGCTCAGAGACATATATGGACATGGTCTCACCGCAATATCAATTGAACAGTAACGTTTTTGTCAAGCTACACATGCAAAAATAAAATGACAAAAAATTAAATAAAAGTCGTGCATGAGAAAAGGACCCAGCAGACAAATGAATTACTAAGAGGCTACTGAAATTGAACCAGGAAGAAAAGATTCTGCTAAGCTGATATTTTGAATGCGTACGCGTATTATTGACACACAATCCGCAGAACATTATAGAGCCTGGGGTCAACTCAAGTTCAACAAAAGAAATCTATATTGGAGCAACAGATGTCGTTTTTGTATAGGTCCCGTTCTTTTCGCAAGTTCAAATTATGTCAACACCAATTTGAGTTGAAAACTTAATCGAGCTGGCATTTTCCAACTCGAATTGTGAAAAGAACGGGGCCATATCTTTGGTTATACAGCTGGCTCTTGGTTGTTGACTCAATATTGATCCTACAAGTTGGCAAACAAAGAGCAAAAAACAACACGGAGAAAGAAAAAAAAGAAATGTCAACTTGAAAATTTTGGCTATATAAAAAGGGCTTGTTGGTTCACTACTAGGAATCAGTGGGCACGGGCGCAAACCAAGGCATTTGATACTTCGTGTCAATGTCTGAACTGAACGTCAAAGGCAGCATTCGACAAAATTGTGTTGAGTAGCAATGTTTTCTACAAGTTGGGCATATTACCAGATGACTCCAAATTTACACGTCAGTGTTCCAACGACACACATTTAAAATTCACGTGCAGAAAGTTGTGAAATATGTTTGTCTGTGCGAGTTTACACTCACACACATGTTTGCAATGGTTTCCTGGAAGCTGCTTTTAGCTTTGTCCTTCTTGAGTCCAAAAGTTACTTCTCATAAAAATGATAGGACTTGACGACTTGTCAGTTGGTTAAGGAGTTAGTGGTTTCATTTTCTCTGTTTCTTTTGTGTGTGTGTGTGTGTGTGTGTGCGCGTGTGTCTGTCTCTGTGTGTGTGTGTGCGTGCGTGTTTACAGTCACACACATGTTTGCAATTGTTTCCTAAAAGCTGCTTTTAGCTTCGTCCTTCTTGAATCCAAAAGTTACTTCTCAGAAAAATAATAGGACTTGACGACTTGTCAGTTGGTTAAGGAGTTACTGGTTTCATTTTCTCTGTTTCTTTTAAAGTCTCATAAAAAAACTTCCTAAGTTTAAAGTTTAAACAACATTTTATAAACCTTAACAAACACATTTATTACTTACTAGAAGATTAAACTCATTTTTAAATATTTAGTCCCGAACGCAGTGAAAAGCCATAGCTTTTACTTTGACTTCAGCAAAAACAACACTAAATGGGCTTCCTTTGCATTTTCACGTTGCAATTACACTTAAATATCATGAACAAAACAAAGAAACCAACTCAACAAATTACTCGACGAGAACTTCACTGAACACCTCAACCAATCAAGAAACAAAAACATACCGTCTCAGCAGCGAAATGGGGTCCACATATCGACATAGCCCGCCAAAGAACGAGGGAGCTTCTCCTTCCACGCATCAAGATCCGGCGAATCACCTGTAAGAGCAACCGAGCTATCCTCGTTCTTCCCATTCCCAAGCCTCAAAACAAAAAGCTTCTCCCCAAAAACCCTTCTCATTGCCTTCAAAGTCTCCTTCATAACCACCCTCCCATCTCTCCGCTTATCCTCCGCCTCAACGCAACTCCCTCCAACGTTCACCATCACTCTGCCACCTTTTCTCAAACACCTGGCGAGCATCTCCCACGTCTTCGGATCCTGCAGCTCAGGAACCAAACTTCCCTTACTAAACAAATCGACCAAAATCCCAGAAAACCCATCTCTAACGCTAGCCTTAAAAGCGTCTCCAATGTAGATAAACAGCCTCTGGGGGTGATCTTTCTCGAGCTTGGAAAGCCCGAAAAACTCTCTTCCGACGGAGATCACAGAAGGGTCGAGCTCCCAGCCGTGGACGACGGCGTGGGGGTAGAGGCGGAGAATGAGGCGAGCGGCGGAGCCGGCGCCGAAGCCGAAAATGGCGAGTGGGCCCCCCGGGGGGAGAATGGGAGGGAGGGTGGCGAAGACATCGAAGTAGGTGTGGGTGGTGAGATTGGAATTGAGGAAGAAAGAGATGCTGTGGATGTTGCCGGGGTTGTCGAGGAGGAGGAGTCGGGAGCCGGCGAAGGGGTGGTCGGCTTTGCGGGAGACTTGGAGGACGCGGATGAAGTTGTGACGGGACTTGAACTTGGCAAGGACTTTGACGTCGTCGGCAGGGATTCCGTCGGCGCCGTTTTGGGGGGTTCTTGTCGTTTGGGGGTTGGTGGATTTGTTATGGTGGGATTTGGGGGCCAGTTGTAGTCTTTTTGATGGGGGGGAGTGGATTGGACTTCGTGGGTTAGGAGGGAATGTTGGGATTTGGTACGAGGTTAGCGGGAATGTCATGGTTTTCTCTCTCTCTCTCTCTCTCTCTCTCTCTCTTCAGAGGAAAACGTACCAGTTGGCGCCAAATATTTACATATGAATTCAAGGAGTTGTTCTTATTTGAAGCGAAGAAAGAAGCATGTATAGTCACTCAACTAGTCAACTTTATCCGGTTCCAACAGACTTGCTTTTATTTTTTTATTTTTTATTTTTTTTTTATTTTAAAGGGAACATTCTTTGTTAAAATTTAAAGACAGACGGGAAAAGGGTAGAGCGGTCACAGAATTTTTTTCATAAATTTTGTTAAAACCAAATAGAAAAAGACCATATGATCTTACTTAATTTATATTTTTTTTAACAAGATTTTAAAAAGGGACTAATTAGAATTAATTCAAAAACCCAAGAGATAAAATGAGAGTTTTTAGAGTTGCAGGCAAACTCAGAATTCCAAATAGTTTTTGTTTTTTGTTTTTTCTTCAAATGTTTCATTCATGTGACTTCCAAACTGTTTTTGTTATTAAAATCGGACCTTTTCATTATTCTTCAAATTCAAAAGCACACTAAAAAAATAATAAATCAAACATCAAATCGCAGCAATAGTAATAGTTGACGGAGTAGCAACGTTAATAATTACGAGTCACTCCACAAAGTGTAATCCGTCGGCATTGTAGGCGGCAACTGGCTGAATCAGTGGAATTGCCGAATCAGTGGAACATAAATCGCTCATACGATTGCAGAATTGTGGCATATTTTAGGATTTTATGCTTTCAAATCAAGTTCTCTTTTACTTGTAGAAAAAGAACTAGAAACAGTAAGCAAAAAGTGCATTTTGGTGGCTAGCCAAATGCTTTTGGACACTTATAAAATTCTCCATTCTCCTCAGTTGGAGGGAAATGTAACAAAAATGTTCCAACATCTGTACCAAGCACAAGACAATAACCAAAAAACTACCAGCGAAGTACAAATCTATTGTTACAAAGTGCAAAGCGCACACAAACTAGGGAAAAAAAAAAGATCTTCTCTCTACTTAAGAAGGATATTGTCTGCAGGGTACAAGTATTGGTTTTCACCTGTGTAACAAACGAAATATTTCCTTTTTTTCATGCAGTTCCACCCAAAAGGCTTTAAGATAAGAGACATCAATGACTTAATTGCAAACAAATACGTACTTGTTTTCTTTTTTTACGCTCTTCTATGAAAGCTTTGCCTTGATAGGTTTTCATCTTGATTAAAGATCTTTAACTTCCGGATGATAAGAAATTAGAGATAATGAGCAGAAACTATAGACTTCTATCTATCATGTCTCAAATGGTGCTTTAGGGGTTCCTATTCTTCCATCTCGTCTTTAACATCCCTGTAATAACAATCACAAAAAGGCACCCCTTCAATAACAAGTTCATTGTTCAAAGAAAAAAATTTATGAGATTTCCAATATTGCAATCAGCAATTTTGCACTAGGTGATGTTCAACTCCATAAACAGGACCAAGGAGAGAAACAAACGCAAACAATTCATGAGTAGATGAAATTACAAGATTAAGATTCGAAGTTAACTGGTAATAAAGATTCACCGAGTTCCATTACCAACAGAGGTTTGAGCCAATAACTTGAGAAATGAAAACCAAGTCTTTTTTTTTATCTTTTTTCTCTTTTATTTATTTTTTTATTTTTGTATTTTTTTTTTTGAAGGATCAAGACTCATATTTAAAATACCTAACCAGGATCTTAAAGAAACCGGAAATTCTAAAGAATTATAAACTATGAGAGATTATTGACAAGGTTTGAACAAGTGGTGGACTGGAGTTGGGTCAAAATGGATATGAACTTCCAAGTTATACGTACTGTCAGTGGGATGATGGAGATGGTGATACATATAATCCAGGTATAAGGCTCAGGTATAATCCAATTTTCATGAATAAAAAACCAGTTGAGTTAGTTATCTGAGAAGTTTGACTAGAAAAAACTCACGAGTTTCAACACCTTACTTGAAGAATGATATGCATCAATCTTGCATTTTGGTTAAAGTTATATAGGAGAAAGAAAAGTATTTCCTGCACATAAACTTAATAAAACAAAACCCTTACATTGTCTCAGTTTTAACCACAGGATGAGTATCAGTATCAAAGCTTCTAATCCGAGGCTTCTCATCTTCATCAATATCAGAATCATAATGCTCGCCATTCCAAATGCGTTGTTTTGGTCTTTGATCAATGCCCTCTTCTCCCTACA